AACTTGACCCCGTTCGCCGCGACGTACTGGTGCTGCAAAGTGGTATATGCAACGTCAGCCACAGCTAATGCATCATGAAATCCGGCGTGTGATAATGCAATGAACACATTTTTATTAACCGTTTGAGGAGTAGTACTTGGGTAGAAATCAACAGTATCACCACTGCCAAGTACACAATCATCCGGAAGTTGAAGAGCTTCCAACTTGGCAACAAGTTGCGCTGAGCTTCTCAATACGAACTCAAGTTTTGCTACCCAAGGTGCTAATTTCATCCTCACATATTGCGCCATCGGAGTCAGGATGCTGGATGAAGTTGGTGTGATACCACGAGGTACCTGAACCTTTTTATGGATTTTCCGAGTTAGGCTGATTTCCATCAGCTTCCATTCAGCATCAACCTGTTGGTGGAGGAATGCCAGTGTTGACCTCGGGGTGATCGTCACATCCAGATTAGTCAGGGAAGTCGCAAATTGTTAGCAAGATGAAGACGGTTGCAAGCAGCAGGTTCAAACTGCACAGTATTGGAACAAGCTTGCTGCTTCAAACCATGCAAATAGCTGCCCATCATGGGAATCAACGCTGTGCCCTTGTCATCCTTGATAATTCCATAGTTATTTTGACGAAGCCAATGTAGGCCTAATCTGTCAATCGAGCTGAGATTCGAACATGGACGGTATCGTCGTAACTGAATGCCGAAACGCTCCCAAGCGTCAACTTCAAAATGCTCAAAGATTGTGAGAGCTGAAGAAGTGCAGGGAGAAAAAGGCGGCCACCATGTTGATGGGCTTCTGATACGCTGTATCTGAGATCTCATTGCTGAATGAACGGCATGGTCTGGGAAATGACCCTCACCAGCAAAATGGACAGCGCAAAATAGTTTTCTCTTGAACTCATGCAGTGAAGCAGCACAGTTGTCAGATGATGGAAGGTGTTTCCGTCGTATGGCAAATTTCGGCCCGTTGCTTAGGAAGAACTGCGCACAATCAGGCAGGCTACGTGGGGGGCAGCATGATTTCTAACGTGATCAAATTCAAGTACACCAGCGGAATCATCAGGAACAAAATGGTTTGCAACTGACCAAAACGGCTCATCATGGAGTTCATGGAAAAACTTCCCCGCGTAGTGGAGCAAAAGAGCCTGCGGGTCATCAACAACTGAATTAAATGATGATCGCCTATGTTTCCGAATTCGGCACTGTTTTTTCTCTTTCAGCGCCGCTGTACGTTGTATCTGTTTCGCCGCTGCTGCTGAGATGGGGCGCGAGATGCTCCTTGACCTCCCCACTTCATTCGCGGATTGAATGGGGTTGCGCTCCTCGATCTCGGCCTCCAACTGGAATTTGACTTGCCGCTCTTGCCCTTGTTCTTGCCTTTGCCTTTGCCCTTGTTTTGCTAGCCTTTCTTCTAGCCCTTGCCTTTCATGTAAATGCCAGCGCTCTGCCGGCTTGAGCTGCGTGAAAACCCCTTCTTGCCTTTGCCGTTACCTTCAGCTTTGGCGGATTGCTGCGAAGTCGATCTCGCCGAGGATGAGGGGTGCTGGCTATGATTGCCACGGCCGAAAGATTCGGCTTTACCAAGACCTTTAGCATGCCTTTACCAAAAGGAAACCGCGGTAATCCGAAGAACTTGCCATGATCACGCATGAACTCGGTTCTCGCCTGGTGCATCTGAGCAAAGAGCGGTTCGGACATTGATTGTTTCAACGCTGGATTATCTTTCCCATTGCCCTTCATCATCGAGGAAACCTTGGATTCAATGATGAGGTCAGGCTGCAAATCTTTGGGAAGTTGTGCAAACTTGCTCTTAGCATTCGCGATGGCGGCATCACGCTTCTTCTGGGCTTGTTGCTGCTGAGATCGGGCTAAGGCTTTGCCAAATAAGAGATGCTCATGGCTAGCATAAACGAACTTCTGAGCTTCAATGATCTAAACATCCTTCCGGAAGTCATCCCGGAGGTCCATCTCAATGAGGGCTTTGTATGTTTCATTGAGGCACTCAGTGACTTGCATGCTGTATGAGTTTAAGGAAGCATCGTCTTGTAGCACATCCATCTCAGCCGCTTTAGCTTGCATCAGAATTTCAATGCGGCGATTGACATCATGGTCATCAAGTTCAGCAACCAATTCTCCAAATGTTTTACCACGTGGATCAAGACTCTTAGGACAGCGACTGCCAACAACCTGGGAAGGGGGTTTGCATCTTACTCAAGAATCTTGGTAGCTTGTGAGAAGTCTTCCACGCCTGGTATTCTGTGCATTCATCCCTTCAAGGTGATCACGGGCTGCCCATAATGCATTCAAATTGCGACGATGTCGATCATGAAACTGAAACAATGCTTGTTGTAGGGTGGGTTCAAGGCCTTGAAGTTGAATGTGAAAGTAGGGTCAGGTTCATGTGTAGCTATTGGAAGTTCGTGGTTTGCATTTGCCTCAAAGATAGATGTGCGTTCAAAGATCCATGTGTCAACAGAAGATTCTCTGCGAGCTTGTCTTCACATCGTGATAATTCTCGTATAGAAGAGGAAGGCTGCAAGCAGGGTATGAGCACGGGGCGCGCACTTTGCAGAAACAAGCTCGTTTTGGACCACACTGTGAATGTGCGGATTGGAAAGCAGTGGGGTAATCCCACAAAAAACTCCAGTGACCCAGGTGCTCACCACACCTGGACGTACCGTCGCTTGGTTCAGCGCCTTTTCATTGGAAACTTCAAGTTTGATGAAAAAGTGTTGGCGGGCATCATGTCAACATTTGGTACTGGATGTCATTTGTGCCAAATGCCTCCGCCTAGCAATCACAGAGCTTCATGAATTATAATGTTTTTTTACACGTACGTGTAAAAAAACATTAGAATTCAGGAAGACTTGTCCGAAACCTGGCAGTTTAGATCTTGGTATTGCAATCGAGGGGTGATATGAGGCTGTAGCTGACTGTAGCAGAGAGGCGAGGGGTAACGTCTGCTTGGCCAGCTACGTGATCCCCTTGATTGCACCTTTCACATTTTGATCTGTCCTGCGGCCTGCAAGCATCCCTGGTTGTTCACTTGCAGACTTGCAGGCCAGGAGTTCCGTGCAGTGCGTTGCCTCTTCCACAAAGAGCTGAATGTTGTAGCAGCTTCAACTTTTCCTCAGGTCTCTCCTGGATTGGCGAAGATGCCAAAACTTGGCAATGCTAGCGATCCCTACTTCTAGAACCCTTTCATCGGTGCTCCGGTAGCGAAGGTTGGAGCAGCTACTCATGATGCCGGGCGTTTACGGCCTTGCAATTGAAGATGCTATGAATCTACATGCAACCGAAGAATGTCAAGTGTTGTCTTGGATAGCAGGCGATTAGTACAGGCGAGCAAGGCAACTGACCGCAAGATTTATGCGGGTGCTCCTGATGTTCGGCCTCGTTTCCATTTCCTTCAAGTTTAAAAATGAGGACGCCTGGGTCCTAGGTCTTATTCAGGGCACCCACCTAAGATTTGAGGACCGTGCGAATTCGCATTATGGCTAGCAGATATGTCAACTTCAGAGGTCACATCATGGGGCAAGGATTGCTAAGCTGACGTTGATGTTCTGTGAGAGGCAGACCGTCTGAAATCGGCTACTGACTCAGCAGTGCAGGGCTCCAAGCATTTTCCTGCTCGAGGGTGTTCATGGACTCTCTTGTGCGAGCTGTCCAGGATTTAGCCAAGATTGCATGGTTCTGTTTCAAATGTTCTCAAAAGGCTAAACGGCTAAGTGGGATTCAATTATGTGTCATCACAGGTCTGGAGGTACTAGCCAAACCGTTTGTTTTCTCAATTCGGTAATTAGCAACGAGCATCGCGCATTGGGGCAAGGGGCATCCCACATGGGGGCTAGCGGCTAGCTGGTTATGCCAAGGCTTCGGCAGGAAAGGAAGGGTGCAGATGTGATAAGAGTTTTGGGATTTCCCTCATTCCGCCCTAGCCTCTGACTCGAGTGCGCCGGTGGGCAGGTGTTGAGGCTAGAGACTTCATAGAGCTTCGGAGACTTGCGAGTTTCAGCTGCTAGGGATATGCATTGCGTGTTCACCTTGGCCCTGCCGTAGGTGTTGCCAATTGCCCTCAACACTTCTAGAAGAGTGGCACTGTTTGCTCCGAAGCTTGACCATCAAGCAGCTTGACGTCTGGCATCTTGTGCCATGTGGAAGCTCCTCACCCTCCTTCCGACTGCCTGGGCGTCAGCTTCTCAGATGGGCAAGTCAGGAACCCATTTGGACAGATCTCCCTCTCAAGGGCATCCGCACGTGCACTAGCTTTGTGGACGGGTGAGATCCCACATAACTAGACAACGATATGACATCAATAGAACGTAGAGATGTTGCTGAGAGAATCTTTGCTGCTGTTGCACTTTTGGTGTGTCCAGCTGACATGAAATTTTATCCCACCCAAGCAAGACATGTGTCGCTCCGAAATTCCTGAGCAAATCGTTCTCTAGCCCGCAGGAGACTCGCAGTTTCCACTAATAGCAGCCCTTGTATACAAGAGCAGAACTTAGTCCTTTTTATGGGTACCCCCGTACCCCCCAAACAAGGACCTCTAAACCCGAAACCTTAAACCCCATGCGGGAGACCCTTGCTCGGAAGCCGGCAGAACTCCTTGGATAGTATCCCTTTGAGAATCCCAAAATTCCGCTCTTGAGCAGTTGTTTCTGATTTCGACGAGCAACCATTAATTTCTTTTTTTTACAGTCAGCCATTGCCACTGCAGATGCTACTTTTCATGGGAGTGCGGTATGTCTCCCGCCGTTACACTAACAGCTTTATCGCCAGCGTGAAGTGTGGAGCATGCAATTGGCTGCTATTATCAGAGTTCTGCCTTGCAGGTGCAGATTCTCCCCCCCAATCTGCTTTGCGTATCTCGAGCGATTTCGGGTTTGAAGTTGAGGACGAGTTCTTGTGAGCAGCATTTCTAAAAGGGATACTCCATAGGACAGCCATGAACACATCCTCGAATGAGGTGCTCTCAAACAGGGTTTCGCAATAGACGTGAGACGGCATGCGCCAGAGTCTCTTTCATCCCTGCATCCCGCTCAGGTGCAGTTATGTGGAGATCCCTTGGGAAGATGCTCAACGGCCCTCATATTTGATTCCAAGGACACGGCTGCACTAGTTGGGGGTTATTTGCTGTCGCTCTTTTGAGTGTTTGGAAGCTCATTGATGTTTGCTTGAAGCCCGCGTAATTGTGGCGTGTGCATTTTCTGCAGGACCATGGAACTTGGGAATGTCTTCGGCAGCACCAACTACAGCATTGAAGTAGTTCCTCGGGGAGGTGGAAACAAGTTTGGCGACTCGGCTCAAATGCAAGAAGCATTTTCACAGGTGTGTCAAGCGCCCAGAGCTGAAGGCCAGGCGCATCCTATTGTCAGGCATATATGCTGTGGCCTTTTTTTTGTCCTTCAGGCCGCCCCAGTTGTAACCCCGGCTTGATCTTGGGTTTGTTAGTTCTCAAGTTCTGAGCTGTTCACCACAGTGTCAGAAGATGCATGGCGTGATCCCTTACTGCACCGACTGCCCGAACATGGTTACCCATATCTTCACAATCATCTATTGAATCTATTCAGCCCCAGCCGCCGGAGGATATCTTGCGCCAATGAACATCTTTCACCTTCCTCCAACCGGTCGGGCCACGAAAATTCCCTTCGAAGGCATGAATGAGGACGGACGCTGCTTGGGTGTAGGAGCTGCAGCTGGGGCCTAGGTTGTTGAGGTCGCGGCCGCTTTTCTTCGTAGATTTTCACCTTGACACAAGGCCCTGTGTTTGAGAGATGCCGCAGGGAACCTCCTTGTGTTTTCGCGCTTCTTCGGTACAAGCGGGCGCAGGCTTCTCATGGATTCTAGTATCCAACAGGTTTTATTAAACCGAAGAGTTCAGCTCTAGCAGGGGAGCAAATATTTTTTCAATTTTTTATGCCCACCAAACACAGCAGACTCCCAGTGTTTTTGTTCTCTAGGAGGTCATGATCTTCTGGTCTTACAAGCTCTGGGACAGGCTGGCTTGACCGTTTCCGCGCTCTATTTCGCTGAGTCCGTCTATGAGCAGTCACATCCGGCAAAGTTCCTTCTATCAATATACAGTTGCTTTCCATCAGCTCCTGTTACAGTTTGGTCCTGAGGTGAATTCAGGTCAGGTGCTTGCATGCAAGCCGTGAGCTACATCCTGCAGCCCATGTCTTCACGAGCACACGCCATCTAGACAGCCATTGTCAGGGACATACTCATCTTTCTTGGACCGGTCAGAGCGAGACATGCATGCCCTTTGTGTCTCAGTCTTGCGTGCGAGCGAAGCTTTGAATCGTCAGAGCTGCACTGCACGTTTTAGCAAGCCGCTCAAGTCTACTGCCAAGGAAGGACCTGACTGTCCTGGATGTAATTCCGGCACTCCTTGCAAACTGTGGCTTGTTGAAAGGATTTGGGGTATAAGGGTATCGTGCTTGTTCAGGAAGAGTTGGGACAAGCATAGGGGCGAATAATTTGCAGGCTTTTGAATCGGTCTTTTTGTGGAACCCGTTGGGGTCAACGCCCACGAAAGTCTATCCTGCAGAGTGTGCAGGCCATATTATAGTCTTCCCGAGAAAGACTAGGTTGAAAGACTAGATTCTGAGGCAGTATCATGAGCTTTGTTCAGAAACGGGCCCATGGAAGCCTTTTCGGCGCATGGTAAAGCGGGTCTGCCCACATCATGACGCGGCCGAAAATCTGCGCATGCGAATGTTGGTGGGATTTCTGCTAGCAAGTACCGTAGGGCCAATGCGTCAGCAACTTCTGCAGCCCTCACTGGTCGCTGACGCAAATTGAGCTCAGCATGCACGTTCGTTGAGCCAATGTTCTGCTGAGGGATTCAAAATTCACAAGGTGGCAACACATGGCAAGACTGCTTTCTAAGGCTCGACCGCAGATGCCGCAAGAGAACTACTGGAATCTGTTAGCGTTGTGCGTGCGATGGGCAACATCCCGGAGGACACCGGCAGAGCGAGTAAAGCTGGCCAGCGTGTACAATTACAGAGGGTCAGTGTCTGATGCCCTTCGAGCCCGAATGCTTTTGATAATTGAGGATCTACGCAATTTCGTAGGACCTTAGGTATCAGTTCAGCATCACTTGTAGAGGACACACACCACAGGCACAAATGCTTGATTACTTTTGCGTGAGAATGACATGCATGCCATCGGCTAGCTGGCAGGCCCTAAAGAGAGTGTCTCTGCACTGGGCCATAGCCGACGCCGGCGGTCGGTCGATCATCGTGGAATACATCCAGGCTCTGGAAAATGTTGTCTGAGTATCTCATAGTATCTCTCATCCTGCTCAATGCTGTTCTGCTGAAACTTACCTTGGCTTAGGTGCTGCCGTGATATGTTTACTACATTCTGCCAGCCTCTGCGGGCTCTGATCAAGCATTTCAATCGGATGGTGCGGGCACTCATTTTCATATCCCACTGAGATCTGAGTATGCGCTTCAGACAGTCGTGTGCTTCCGGTTTGTTGCAAGAAAACAAAAACTTGCAGCAAACCAGGCGCCAGGACTCCTAGACGCACAAGCGGTAATCGTGCCGTGACGACATCTCATCACGAGTCTGTCGTTGTCATCATCATCATTATTTTTTGTAGTATTTCCGTGGTGGTGGTGGTGGTGGTGGTGGTGGCGGCGGCGGCGGCGGCGGTGGCGGTGGTGGTGGTCCCGGCATCACGCTACGTCACTGCGTCGGATTAGGAAATCGTTACTTGCGTAGCGCAAGTGGCAGGAGCTGAACGAGGAGGAGACGGAGTGGGAGGAGTAAGCGTTCTCCCCCCCTTACGTATATACTCGAACCCGTATTTGATATTCGGGAAGGGGCATTTATCCTGGGACCGAAACATTGGGGGACATGCAATAAGAACTAAGGAGGTCATGAGTTCTAGTAGATAATAATCAAACATCTTAAACATTAAGCAGAAACGGTTCAGATAGACAAAGAATGATTCTTTGCTGCAGCCAAAGTGGCTCATGCACCCACATGGTGCGCAGCCACACGAACAGCTTTCAGCAACGGCACGACTCAATTGATTTGATTCTTACATATACAATCCTTTATAACACAACAGTTCAAAAACAATAAACATCGAGGAAATCAAGTCATGCTAGGGGTTTCCCCTAATTCAAAGCATCCGAGCCGTCATCAACTTTCGTATTGGCCCGCTTAGAAGTAGTCTTTTGGCAGACTATAGGATTGGGAATTCTGCGGACCCACATTTAATACTACGGCAGTTGAATATTAGGGGGATGGGATTAGGCATAGAAGGTTGGAGTAGAACCAAAAGGGGTTGACAACCATACTCACCTCACTGTCTCCCCTGCACCTCCAGCCACCGGCCTCAGCAGGGAAAGCTGGCGATTGTGGAGAATACTCCGAGACACATGCCACCATGGGCTTTCCAGCAGATCTGGAGTTTTGGGCGAGGGGCAGGTTTCAGGGGCGTCGGTGACTAGATTTCATCAGCCATACATGTCGAGATGGGATGGGAAACAGGTTACCGGTAGCCTTGCACGCTTGATATTGTGCGTTTGAAGCATGGGCTTGGGGAGATGGCTTTTGGAATTAAAAGCTTCCATAGCCGTGCCATCCACGAGTTCATGAAGACTGCGATTGCCGCTGCCCCTCTCATATGTCCTCAAAATGCACATGGGATCGACCCCTGGGATGTGTTGCAGCAACACCAGAAATACATTGTTGAAGTGAAGTCCCTGACAACGGTTCACAGGGTGGCCTGCACTAGCTAGATGGCTTGATTAACAAGCGCCGACAGCCTTAAACAGAATTGCACAAGTGCAGAAAACTGCAAGCGTGTTTGAAGAGCACGCACGTGCACCAGCCCTCTCTTCCCTGTTTTCAACGTTTGGTAGCTAAGGAGTGATGACCAATGCGGCATGGCTGTGCAAGATAGCCAGTTTGGATTGCTTACGTAGACCGTGGTGTGAGTGTGTGTACACACACATATACCTAAAAAACAATCTATGTAATTATATGTATACACTCTGCCGTTCTACTTGCCAAGTGCAGTGTCAGATTACAGACGTCTGTACATGCGGCGGAATGTGTTGGCATCATGCAGTGCTCGCTAATAAGCTCCAAACTGAGAGAAACACCGTATCCTCAACACATTGTTCCTCCTTCAGATGCAGAGCCTTTTTCAGTGTGATGTGACTGAAGTAGATTCCCACTTGTTTCATGAAGACTGCTAGCCTTGGGACTGTCTGCGGCGCTCTCCCCGCAACGGCTAGCCGAGGACCCAGACATCAAATGGCACTGGAGGAACTTGAACACACACGCGACTTGCACTGCAAATATGCCGAAACATATCGCTGGGCTTGCTTCTTGTATCTGCGCCATCCGACAAATTGTCTTTCGGGCAGAAGTCTGACTAAAGGGTGAGCGAATGGCCTCACAGCAAACTGCTGCCGCCATCTGTCCTGCTTCTGTACAGCAACTGCTGTGTCTAAGTGCGGCCATGATTCGAGGGTTCCCCCTGTACTAACCCCCTTACCAAGAAGTTGTTAGGGCTAATTAAGGCTTATGCAGTGGGAGCTTGGGTCACTACCTGATTCTTGCAAGCGTCTGTCAGCTGCTCAACCCGGATTCCGTGGTATTTCAGTATTTCAGAGCCACGTACTAATCTCAAGCCCTGCAAGTCATCCAGAACCTGGCACCAAGGTGCATCTGAGTCCGTCATATCCGCTGGAGAACAACATGCTGCAAGTGAAAGTGGATGACGACATAGGAGTTCCTTCACCCATGCATTTGCTTGCATCGAGTCTCCCCTAGCTCCTCAGTAGCTCCTGCGTGATCCTTCATTGCAAGATGTTTTTGGGTTCTGCCCTTGTAGCGCCGCATGCATCAAAACAGCTCGGGCAGCGCTCGAGTACATGACTTGAAGTCGTTGATGTCTCTTGCCCAAAACTTTGTATTGAGCAGGGGCATCCAAGCAGGCCTCACAAAGAAGCTGATGCCAGGAAGCCTGGGCAGCACACATCCCAAACCCGACACGCACTCATTGAACTCCTATCTGCATCAGCAGGAATCGTCATCCGAAGACCAGGCTTCGACGCCACACGCAAGCTGTATTTTAGAGCTAGCTCAGCAACATGTATTGTCTTAACTGAAATGCACGGACCTATACACGGCGGAAGCCCGACAAAGCCCGATGATAATGTGTGCCGACTCGTGCACCTTCCCAAAAGCAACGGGAAGTCGCAAGATCATTGCTGTATCTCTGAACTATGCGCCAATTAAGGCCGGTCTTTTTTTTATTTTTCCTTTTTTGGTCTCCCCACTGCTTGAGCACCCTTCGTGCTTAGGAAAAGGTCAAGCGAGCCAATTTTACACTGATCTCGGAAGCGCCTTGAGGAGTTGTACCCCGTCCGGTCGGTCATGGCTGGAATTTGCTGGATGCTGAGAATACCTGAGAATCGGGTCTGGAACGGTCCGGACCAACTCTCCTGAGCACTGAGCTCCATAGTTTCTTGTGGCCACGTGACCTTCTGTAGCTATGCCGCACAGCCACAATAAAACTTGTCAATGCAGAGACATGTTGCCCGAGCTTCAGAACTGTCGTATCATGTCTTGGCCCATTGTGCCAGCTACATGCGGTTGTCAACGTCCGGAATGATAAGGCGTGTTGTCTAGATTCCATCTGTCGCAGATGCCAGCGATCAGGAATCACGCCTACGCCCAGGGCTGTTTTTGCAATTGCACATTCCTGGGGACGTCAAAGCCAGCCAACTTGACGGCAACCAAGACAGTAGACGATGAACCCTGGGGCTAGTATCCTCAGACTGAAGCTGCCAGCAATCAGTAATCCTGCAATTGCGCATGGACATGTTGCATAATCTTCCCATCTCGTTTCTTACTGAGGTTTGGCCTTCCTGGAGACAGCTCCTCCCCAAGCCGCTTCGTGCGCAGCGAGGCAGCAAAGTGGCAGGCAATGAAAGTGCCACATCGGTCTTTGGATTCGACATGATTCGACTACTTTTATAAAGAGGTTTGTATCTTACGTGTTAGTCTGGATAGGTGGACTTCCTCTGCCTCAACGCTGGAAATCAAGCTCAATGCTAGTGATAGAGTCTGATAGAGCCCGCCTTTCACGTAAAAGTCGAAGCGCAAAGAGGGATTTCTCGCAGTCTCACTCAGTTTCATAGTTACAAGAAGTCAGCCAGCTTACGAGAGTACTCCGCGCCCTAATGCTGTTTTCCACTGGACTTAGCTTCCTTGTTGGAACTCTGTACCCAGAATCCGCGCTTCTTCAGCCCAGGACTCTTCTATTTACGCGGATATGGCATGAAGGCAAATCCTCCCAAGAGCTTCGATGATGCCGTGGTGTTGGGAGACTTGTCTCCTCGGTCACGGAGAGGTCCATGTTGACAAGTTGAGGTCATTGAGGCTTTACTCCCCAGTCCTATCCAAGGCAGCATGCTCCTGCAAGCTGCTTCATGGACTCGCGATCGCTGGCTTAAATCACAGAAGAAAACGCTTGAGCCCTTTACGGGTAGACTCGTCAGTGTGGCAACCTCAAGCGCCAAGTTTGGGCCTCCCATGAGCTGGGATTGGCTTTGGCTTCAAGCGCACCGCATAAGGCCTTTGTGAGAGGAACCGCGCTTATGACAGGTTACTTCTAATGATCAGTGCCCGGGGGTGGTGGCTGGAACACTCTTTGCAAAGGAACTGCGCTGTTGAACAACGTCTTCATTCCGTGACGTGGAGTGCAGATCGAGATGCAAGGAGTTGCAGGTTGATTTACTGACTTACGCGCCTGGAAGGTCAGGTGTCCGAGGTTTAGGGTGGTGTGGGTTCCAATACATCAAGTTTGGCAAAACCTGCATACCTCCTCAGTGGTGATGCCGTCAACGTAGCCGTCAGTTTTCTTTCAAGCAGAGCCTCAGGTTTGGCTCTGTGGCAGCGGATCCCAGGGAGCCGGGCGACGCCCCGGAGTATACGCCGTATGGCATCTTGAAGAGTCCCCAGGACACGAGTGTTCGCAAGAGGGCGTAGTGGTTGACTATTGAGGCTGCGATCTATCAGCAAACCCCTCAGGCCTTCCACAAATAAAGTTGTACTACAATGTAACAACAATGTAACAACTCCGGGATGGGGACTTCCGCTGCTACAGCCTACTTAGCTGCTTGGCCTGCACTGGAACAAAAACGACTGCAAAATGACAACGATTGATAATGAACATAATGGCCGACACTTTGTACAATATTTGGTTGGTTTGGCACCACAGGTCTGGTCTGGTGTTGGAACCATGACAAATTGGCGACTTCTGTGGCTCCCAGCATTTCTGCGCAGAAACGAGGTCGTGCCCACATCCCATACAACCTTGGAACATCTCTTGATTGCAGCCTGAACCCCGGACTGTGCCTGCTTGTACACACGAGCTTCGTGTCGTGCTGGCCATCGAAATTGTTCAACATCCCGAAAATGATAAGGTACACACACAAAAACGGCAATGTGCTGTACCACTAGAGGAAATTGGAAGCTGGATCTCTTGAAGATTTAGGTAAGTTTGTCCAAGCCAGAAACCTAACATTCTAGATTTTAGACCCGCAGATTATTACCTCTGCTGCTGCTGCTGCTGCTGTTCCTACTACTGCCATTTCCAACCCGGTACTGCGATCGCAGCTGCTGCTGCCGCCGCCGCATGCTGCTGCTATTGCCGCTACAACTGCTGCAGCCCCCCTCTTTTTGCAGGAGCGAGTGATGCTGATCCGAGGCAAGCAGCCCATGTGTCAACTCAATGGGCATTACTTGCATTCAGACATGGGCCCACCACGCTTGCTGAAGCAGCTGCGAAGTACCACAGCAACTGCATGAAGCCTATCAGCCTGAAATCGTGAACTCCCTTGGGATCTCAACGTTCGGAAATCATCAGGCTTGCGCACTTGCTGCAAGATCTCCTGAGAGCGCACCCACACCTTCTACGCCCAAGATCATTAAATCTTCAAGCTCAATGGGCAGCTATCTGCGAGGCTACCGAAACTCCCAATGGCGCAAACTCGACCTCAATCGCCTGGATTTCTCACAAGTCCGTTCGTGGCCGCTGGAAGATGGCTCGCTTGGTGTTCAGGAAACTTGGCTCAAGTGCTGCTGTTCCTTACTCTCTGCGCATGATGCTGCGTCCATGCTTTGCCTTCTCAGACTTGTTCAAAAGCTAAGATCATGGTCCTTCTACCTTTTAACTTCCATGGTTTATTTACTACGGCAAGCGCTGGCTTCATGGTTGACTGAAGCAACATTGCCGCTGCGCCTTTCGTCGTCAGTGCTTCTGCACTTGAGGACATAACCGATGCAGGCAGGAGCATCGTGTCTTTGCAGACGTGGTAACATTTTCGGAAGACTTTTGCTTTATGGCTGCAAGTTGCAAGGGCTCCTGCAGATCTTCACTCCTCACTCGCTGCTTGTGCAGCCCCTTTTGTGATCCCTATGGGGTTCTGTCAAATCATGTGGCCTTGCAGTACGGGACCCAACAAAAAAAGTCTGCTCGCAACAGAGGACAACGCAAATCATGCGAAACTTGATGTGTGCTAAGGACTCGTTTCATGTCTGAAATGGAACAAAAGTTCCTAAGCTGTTTCGGATGGCTGGCGTTAAACATCCAAAGCTCTCAGAAGCTGAGCTGCTGGTTCCAGAATCTTAGCCTCATGGCATTTGTACAGGATGGGCAGTGGATCAAAGCAGGGTCTGACAAGGGCCGACGCATAACACTTTGCAAGAGTAGTCGCGAGTAGTCAGTAGTCCTGCATCTTTTTTAAAAGCTTGTAGCATATGTCCTCGGAAGATTGATGTGTTGGTTGTTTCGTGCTTAGGCTAAGCCCATGTGCATTGAATATCGGAGCAATGACAGGCACATTAACAGCCACGCTAAAAGCCCTGATCTTTTCTCTGCATCGAACTAAGTACAATGCCTCCCAAATCTTGAATGCCATGTTGTCGGAGACTTGTCAGGAAAGAGCGATCCTGTTTTTGATTATAACTCCCAGTTATTGATCAGCCTGCGTGTGGTAGAAGCAGGACTCTTTTGATTGCCGATGCCTTGCCAAAGCCTGCGGCTCTGAACACAAAGTTCACGCAGCTAGTGCGCTTCGAAGTTGGTATAGAGGGCGCGTACTTCATGTGGGCCATCTGAGTACTGGGACCTACTGAACACGTGTTTGGACAAGCATCTAAAGCAGTTTGACGGAGCCGCATGAGCCACAGAGTCAGCCATTGGTGGAGGACAAGGATTGAGCCGCCGTGGACCAAAAGCTCAGCATCCGGCTTGTGGGGGGTGTAGCGCATGCTTCAGTTCCCATGTCCAGCAGGGAGTAATTCATGATGGTGCTGAATACAGGTAGAAGCATGACGACTAGGGGCCACGGAAGTGAGATGAAACGAATGGAACCCCTTGCTTTTGTTTGCTAGCTCGTGTTTGGAAGGGCGCAAAGCTGAAGTCGATGGGATGGCTTCGATCTTGTGGAGGATAGAGACCAACCGTTTTATGAACAATCTTCAGCTGTTGTTGATCAAGTTTACTTTGAATTGATGGGCTTTTGAGGCTACCGTTGGCGTACAAGTGCGCACCTAGTGATCAAAAGCACCTCCGGCTCGGAGAGATTTCAGTCTTGGTCATTATTCTCATCCGGGAAGAAGACAAGGGTTTCCTAAAAGGTTGAGGCCTTTAATTCGGGGCCACATCTGCAAACTTTCGTTTGTTGACGTCTCAAAACTGACGACGTTGAAATCAAATGCCACCTCCAATCAGCTTCTCATATTCAATTTCAACAATATGACGTCCAGGCCCCTAATGTGTCTTTCGAGTCAGGCGGAGCCTACCAGGATATCGATGCTGTTCGGATCCTGTAGATCTAAACTCAACCAGACAACAGGATACGCACAAGCGCAGCCCATCTCACGGAAGATGCTCAAAGGTGCACGTGCAGGGTTGTGACCCGTGGAATCCTTCACGCAGACAGGCTGAATAGTTCTTTCCCAGCTCCCAGGGTCGAGCCCTCAGCCCGCAACCCCCCAGTGCGGCCAAACCATAAAGACTCCAAGTCCCGAACCCGAAAACCTTTGAAGGCTTGTGCGCTGAAGCCCTGAGCTCCAAAAGCAAATGCAAGTGCAAAGCTTGCAGCCACTTTTCAGGCGAGCCAACCTGAACTATCAGGACCAGCGGTACGCCAAGGCGGCGCTGCAACTGACGCACCTGCACCTGGTTTTTTCTTGCAGAGCATGTCACATAGAAGTGTATTTGCTTGCTTGTGGTTCCTATGCTGAGAGCTTCAAAGTGCCCTGTAAGTCCCTCACTGTGCAGGAGCGGAGCTTGGCCTCGGTCAAGGTAAGCAGTTTTAAAGGGACAGCTGAGAAGCTCTCTTTAAAAGGCTCGCCGATCCTCAATCCACTGCCGAATGAAACATCTGACATGAGCGGCTGCATTTAGTATCGTGGAAGAGCCAAGCTCAGACAGAGATAACATCATCCAGGCATGAACAAAACACACGTAAATTGATTGCCCCCCCCCCTTCCCCCCAAAGCGATGCCGCAAAGTGGGCGACTTATGAGGATCCCATCCCAAAGCAAAGATATGGGGTATCCAGGCGAGGGATGTAGCAAAACACCGTAAAACAATGGGTATGACACCGCAGTTTGAAAACCACCTAAAACCGATAGCCNNCTCACCCCCCCCCCCCCCGGAAAGAAACACTTTGATTTTACTTGGCTGTTGATAGATACTTCGTGCAGCTGCTCCCGTGCCCCTGATCTCCAAGCCCTGGAACGGGAAGATTTCAGATTTGACGCGCCAGGACGGCAAGCCCTACAATGCAGATGGCTTCCAAAAGTATTATGCCGAGAACTACTTGCTCCTTGCCACATGCTAACCAGATCAAGGAGGGTGCAGACTATATTTGGACAACGGCATACAAACAAAAGCGTTCGCTTGGTTATTTTTCTTTGGGAGAACTAGCTTCTTTACCTGAGTTCAATCTATCCATCGGCTAGATATTGATTGACTTGTTCAATCTATAGCAGAAGGCTGAGGCTTGTGCCCAGGGATGCCTTTCTAACCAATACTCAGGCAGTCTGTTATGTCAACGTGCTAGGGTACATACACCACATACCATACAGTCGGCAGGAAACGGGGCACTCAGAATGCAGAAGCCCTCAGACGTTGGTGCCACCTGCAGCCGGTCGTCTTGGCCCTGCTTCATTTACTTCTTGGCTTCACTGCAAATTCCCAAAGTGGGCAACATCCATGCGACATGTAAGCCTGTATCCATTTTTTCCTCAAATACCTTGTGCCCATTTGCCAGGTTTGGCTTTAGCTAGTTTTTCACAAATGTCCCGCAGAAGGGTTCGTGGTTTTCATTTTGGGTTCCAGCAGTTCAGGAGTTTACCAAAATCGTGGCTTTTGCGTCCGCGAGGCGTTTGCAAACAATCGCAAACGTTTGTGAGTGTCGCGGGAGTGTCGCGAGCCGGCGGATCCATCGTCGCGGACCGCTGCGCATGCGAGCGCGCGCCGTGAGCTGTAGACTTTCTGGACCTGACGTGGCTGCAGTGTGACAGCAGACTGGAGGATGATGGGGGATGCGTCACCAGTGCACAACACCCAAGGCCGAGGTGTCACCTGCCAAGTTCAAATTCATTGACTGTTGCAGGGTAACGCTACCACGAATTTGCATGTTACATCCCCTTATGCACCACATTCCGGGCTTTGCCGGGCTGCGAAGGCCTCTGCTTGCCCAAAACTAGCGGACTTTCCAGCCTTACTTCCAATGCTGATTGGTCGCAACTTGAGATGCATGTCTGGCAGCCGCCCAAATTTTGCTTACACGATGATCCAGCAGAAAGCAAGAGGCCCGTAGTCTCCAGCCTGTGAAAGCGATTGTGATTAAATCAATTTCCCAGTCTCTCAACACAGGACAAGCTTGCCGTACAGCATAGGAAGGGAATGGGCAATCAGACACACAAGGGACTTCGGACAAGGCCGGTAGCAACATCTAACCACTTGCCACCTTAGAGGCAGCAAGTTTGTGCTGGCCTCAAGTCAATTTTTAGAGCCCTCTTCTGCAGAGCAATGTATGCGCGCGGGTGCCCGGTGCAAAAGATGCCCCAACAATCTACGAGAGAGTTTGAAACAAAGGGCGCAACAAACATTCCGTCCAAGCTCTCAAAGTCCGAATTTCCTCCCCCAGGAAGGAATGGTCTGGCGCCCCAGCAGAGAAGCGGGTGGCGCAGGACTCGAAGGCGAGGATTTAGTAGACCCCTTTTGTGTGATTCGTGTTTCACTCCAGGTTTTCTGTAAGATTTTGCGGCACCCCAAGAATCCCCAAGACATATGCGTGCGCTAGAAGCATTCGCCATGGAGTTTGCCAGGATCCTCATCTTCCTATGCTTAATTGTATATCCTCTGTTGGTTCAATGAGGTTTCCTGACATTCTCATTGCCTCTGAGCTTGAGTGCAAGCTGGCTCAGCTCGTGTCTCAGAAGAATTCAACATAGCTTGGCCATGGGGGCAGCCTATCAACAGTAGTCGCTAGTCGGTTCAACTGTGCAACCTACGCAGCTCGAGTCATCTCAGTGAAGTTCATCACAATGATGCCTAGAACCGTCTGCGAATTCGGTGTTCGCACACTGCGAGGAACGACTACAATGACAGAAGCTGCTATGCACAACCTTCACAGGTGTTACAGGCTCAGTACAAGGTCTCAACAGAAGACATCCAGAGCGCAAGGCTTTAGTTGTGCAATTTGATTCATGTCTATGTGTTGCACCAGCTTGACGACCATCATTCGGGCTTCATACTTCGCTTACAACGGAGGAAGAGGCAGGAAGTGAACTTGAGGCAGAGCATCTGTTTGAAACAGCTGAACTACAGTCAGCACCCTCTTGTCGGGAGAGGCTTACACTGCGAGCCAGTTCCGCATGTACTTCCAGAGCTACTGGGCTGCTCGGCTTGGCAAAGGGAGGGCTTCAATCATCAGAAAGGGAGGATTGCCTGCGATGCCTGGCAAGTGTTGGTTGCTGCGTGTTTGGCTCTTCGTTCAAGTTTAGATTTGCTGCGGCTGGTCGCAAGGTCGTGTGTACAGAAGGCGCATGCCAGTTGGTTGAGAAACGGCTTTTTCAAAGTACTCGTTACCCAGTCGCTCCACGGCGTGAGTTTTGACTGCTGAACTCAAGCTTTAAACAAAATCCAGTCACGGATCAAATCAGACAACACCACCGAGAAACCGTCTGCATATCCTGAAAGGGTAGACCTTGATTGAGACTCATCTTAGATCCCAGAAGCTTGATCTCGCATCTCAG